ATAGTTTGGGGGAAGACCAAGGTTGTTCCTGTGATAACACAGGCTACACTTTGACTTATCATGGATCCATCTGCTATCTCCCACTCGTCTTTCTTTCATCCAACTGTATTGTCAAAGTGGGATGTGACTGGTATGCAACAGTGGACGGTAGAGTAATGAAAATAAATTCCTGTGCTGGAAACTATACTATATGCTGTTGAAAACTCATGTGATCCTTTGACAGTTACTGCGTGGTGCTGCTAAGCCCAGCATGATAATTAACAGTTATTTTACTTTTATTTTTCCATTCAATCATGTACAGACAAATGCCTACAGAGATTCTCAGTCATCCAGGCCATTGTTGTCCCAGAGGTGCTTTTTCAAAAGACAACTGGACTTTTTTTTTGTTTTGTTTTCATTCAAGACGTTTCACTTCTCATCCAAGAAGCTTTTTCAGTTCTGAAAGTCTTCAAGGAAAACAAAGGAAGTCCAGTTGCCTTTTGAAAATGCACCTTTGGGACATGTCCAGACAGGTCCCTGCAGTTTTCTTGGCAAGGTTTTTCAGAAATGGTTTGCCATTGCCTCCTTCCTAGGGCTGAGAGAAAGTGACTGGACCAAGGTTATCCAGTTGGCTTTTTGCCTAAAGCTAAAATAGAATTCACAGTTTCCCAGTTTCTAATCTGATACCTTAATCACTGTACCAAGCGGATTCTTCTTTACTTAGGCTAAATTAAATAATAATTTTCAACCTATATCTGTCATCAAAAAGAAGTCTTCAGCTTCTATGCCGTTCCTGTAATTTCCGGAACAAATCACATTGGGTTGCTATGATGTCATGGACTTTTGACTTGCTTTCTTATTTCTCAAAAGTAACAACTATAATACGTAGCCTCAGTATAGAAGCATAGAAAGTGATTTTAAAAAAGGATGGCTCTGTTGATAGAATCTTGAAAAGGGTGGGGTATGCATCTCCCATTTTGCACTCAAATAGAAATCAAAAGAAAGTCTGCCATGCATTATGTGCGTATGTTGATGTTTTAAATATTGGCTGTACCAGAAATGCAGGCAAAATACAAGTAGATGCATATAGAAACAATATATTACCAAGTTCCAAAGGGCATCATAAAGCAATCCTACTTACTCACATTTCGCGATCTCTTTCAATATAAATCCTCAACTTAAATCCTCAACTTGGTCATGTGATCAAAATTTGGACGCTTGGAACTGATTCATATTTGTAACGGTTGCTAATTTAACAACTGCAATGATTCCCTTAACAACCGTGACAAGAAAGTTCGTAAAATGGGGCAAAACTCACTTAATAACTGTCTTGCTTAGCGATGGAAATTTTGGGCTTTTTGTGTTCATTAGTCGAAGGCTACATGTAATTTATTCTGTTAAGTGCGAGAAGAATCATTTAAATAGATGCTTGAATTTCAGATCATATTTTATTGCAATGGCTGTTGGAACTGCTACTATTGTTGTTATTGCTGCCATTATTGTTGTTGTTTTGTTATAGTTAATTGTCAAATTTTTAATATTTTCAACTGCCTTCGCCAAAAATGACTTCAAATATAAACTATGGAATTCAATATTAATATAACATGTCTGGAAAATAATAAACCAGTTTGAACAAAAAGAGATCCAATCTTCCTTGTCATTATGAGTTCTTTTAAAGTAAATGCTCATACAAAATGAAAGTTTTTGGACTTTGCTATGACTTTTTCCCTCTGACTTACTAACATTGGAAACCATTTCCTTGATTATTTCAAATGAAATTCCTAATTCCTAATTTAACTCTAATTAGTTTTGTTTATTAAAATATACAGTCACAGACCAAGCAGAGAAATGAAAGCACCTAGAAAATGGATCGAGCCCAATAACTTTTAATTTCTATCATACAATTTTAGCTACAATTCTTGAGACTGCCTGATCCTGTTCATTTAATAAATAGTGCTTGTGAGAACTATCTTAAGTATTTTATAATCAAAGGAGAGATTAACTCTACTGTCAAAGAGTGGCAAATGGGGCAATTCAGAAATATATGCATTAATGTTTCAATTTCAGAATCTCAGCAGATACATAAATGTTCTTTATAAAATACCATTGAATCTACCCAACAGTACCAATTAGGGGAGGGCATTCAGATGTGCCAATGTAAAGGCCAGAATGAATAAATGACATAAATATTAGGGAATAATGATTCTATCTCTTTATAAAATGAGAATTCTTTACCTGAACAGTCTCCTGGCTTTATTCAAGGCTAGCACAGATAAAGAGTGAGCCCACAACGAGCCAGATTTATCCATTATTTCTTTCTTCCAGGGAGGCTGTATCTGCTTATAAAAACTAATAAGATAAATTGCATTAGCTACAATGCAGGGAGCTTAAAGTAGAGACTTGCAGAATTTAGGCTGAACAGCTTCCAACATATAAGTAGCCTTGTAAGCAGTGGTGGGATTCAAATATGTGAACAACCAGTTCTCTGTGTGGATGCCTCTTCCAGAAGTCCATTCTGAGCCTGGGCAACAAAAAATTAGCTACCGGTTCTGCCGAAGTGATGCGATGCGAACTGGCTGAATCCCACCACTGCTTGTAAGCATAACATTACACAGCATACAGCAAGAGCCTTGACACTTTAGCTTTAAAAGTTTTAAATGCTGTGGACACAAAATTGTTCTTTGTACAGTTGATTGGGTGGTTCAAGAAAGAATTCCAGCAATGGAAGAAGCTAGCTTCAGATCACAGTTTTCCATCACTTACCAATATATCACTTTTACACCACCTCTCTTCATAGTACACTAAGTCTCCTGGAGGTGCCTTTTACACCATTTTTATAGATCTAGAAGCAGTGTTTGATTCAATCCTTCATGAGATGCTATGGCAGCTTCCTTTATTGACTGCCACCTCCTGCAATTAATTATGATGTTGCATTAAAGTGCCGCAAGGCAGATCCAGTTCTTAAATAGTGGAGAGTTGACTGACCTTATTCTGAATCTTAGGTTTATTGTTATAGTTACCATTCCCAAAACTCTGCTTAAAGCTACCAGATGATACTTCTGCAGTGATAAAAAGATACACATTCCACCAGGATAAATATGCATATTCAAATACCTACAGGAATATTTATAATAGATGTTCTACATGCCTGGAAAAAAATTATATTCCCAGTGTTTAATAAATTCCCTTGGGAAAAGGTTTGGTGATACTGTGAATATCTAAAATGATAAATAACATTATGGCACCCTTTTCTGAAAATAAATATGTACACACACAAAGATAATACTACAACTTTAAAGACAGAAGTACTGAAGTTCACTATTATGACAAATGACTAATATTTATTTTTAAACTGTTCAATCTCAGCAGCTACCCACTTGTACAAGACACTGTGCTACTTACAAATATTAAGTCTAACGATAAAAACAATGTGAAACAACAATAAAGATGCTGATGCCATTTTTTAATAAATATATATTTTAATCATTTTGGAAGATAGATACATGATTATAAAGCACATTATAAAATAACAATTTATAGTTAAATTTTTAAAAATAAAATATTGGTGGTATTTTTATGTCTCTACTAAAATTTTATATGTCTGACAAATATTGTTGCTTTTTATCAGTTATGTTATTTATGTTTTAATTGATTTGTCTTTTTACTTATTTCATTGGTTGAGCCAAACTAACTCATTCATAAAATGCCAAACAGCAATTTCACTTTTAATATTCATATGAAAATTTTCACATAGGGTTACACATTGTTCCTTAAGTTCTCTTTTTTTATTATTATTACACAAAGTTCATCCTGAAGTCAGTTGTTAAAGAGGTTTACAAAACTGTGAAATAGATCATCCCCTGAACCACAAATTATGTTACATACAAACCTAGAACAAAAGTACTTTAGTAAAACAAGTTGCCTTTTTTCTGAAACTAATACTTAATTGACACAACGTGTTTACATTTAGCAGGCATGCAAGAATAACTGAGCCATTAAAGGAAATTCAACTTGTCCTGTCTGTTTTGAAATGTTATTGGTTGGCAAAGTCTGTTTATTTTTCAGGATGATCTTTGATCTGTAAGATAAAAAGCTGAAGCTTGTAATGAAAATACTGGGAATTTATTGATGCTCTTTTATACTGATCTTTTAACATATTAATTTACATTAATTCTTCCTTTCAGTGTTATTTTTACAGCAGGGGTGTCAAACTCCCAATGTCACGTGACGTGTCACAACATATCCTGACTTTTTTTCCATTGCCAGCAATGGGGTGGGCGCAGTTTTGCCATGACGCATCTGGCCCGTGGGCCGGCAGTTTGACACCCCTGTTTTACAACATATCATTTATTTCTGTTTTGTGCTGTATCCCTCTGCAACTGAACCATTTTTGTGGTTTTCATTATTGATCTTATTAGCTACCTTGAACTAATTCTAAGATAGGTTTATGTTCAAAGAAAAAAAAATAATTCCTTTTGGCATTGCTTCCATAGTGCATCTTTGCACAAGAGAAGAGACTAAGCACACTCAACTGGATGCCAAAGTTTGTTCAGTGGGGGGAAAATACAAAAATAACGCACTGAAAATTGGTAAAAAGCAGGAGGATGTTGACTGGAAATATGAACTCTCACGAAAACCTGGTATCCATTCATCTCATAATCCTGCAATAGAAGTCTGTATCTTCTCAGGAAAAAAAAACACCTATTAAATTCAATAGGACCTATCCCAATTGGGAAAATGATTTCAGCTTTAAAGTCCTACCTCAATTTCAGTGCCCTTTTCTAGAAAATAAATGCTTTCGCAAAATGGGCAGTTGTAGTAAAACTCATTAATACAGTCGCAAGGTATTACAGCAGCAGCAAAAGAGAATTTATGTGAAAGTATCTCTCAATGGTTTTTTTTTTTTTTTGTACTCTTTAAATGGTGGCCGAAATGCATGATTAAAAAAAAAAGATCAAAAGAGAGCAACAGTAAATAACCCCAAGGTATTCTTTTGCTTGTTTCTTTGTTTTGGTACATAGGTTGATGACCAAATGAAGCTCCTTCAAAACTGCTGGAGTGAACTCTTAATTCTAGATCATATTTATCGACAAGTGGTACATGGGAAGGAAGGCTCCATCCTTCTAGTCACTGGGCAACAAGTGAGTTTGCATAGTAAAATTGCTGAGTTTTTTTGTATTAATGACCTTGCAAATACTCAGATTTTAGATAGATCAGAAGCAGTGCTGGGTCACACTGAAAGCACTTTCCACTGAACTGAGATGTAGGTTCTAGCAGAATATTAGTAAAATGAAAAGGGTTCTCTGTCCCAATGACAAATTTTACACTATATATATATATAATTTTTAAATGTATTCATATGAAAGATGAAGAGGATGAAATTTGTTGGCAAAATTGGTTAGCAAAATGCCTGGAAGAAACAACATCAAGATAAATATCCATGTCCCTTTATTTCTATGAATTTATGTCAAGTAAATCATGGATCAGGCTAACCCTTTGCTAATTGTACATCATTTAAAGAAAAAAAAATTAGTTCAGCTGAATTTAAAGCAGATAATATGCTCCCCTGGGGAAACAACATTCAATGCAGACACGGCTAGATTAGATCATTTGTGATAATAAGTACTGAAGGAAAACCTTCAGAAAGTGTTTAAGTTATATAACTTGCAGCTTAGGAATCTTTATACTTTCTTCAAGATTCCTTCTTGTATCCCCACTCCACAAATATACAATTTTGAACGGAATACAGAGTTCCATTCAAATACAAAAAATGTCTAAGGCATAAAGAGGGAGAAAACACGCTGAAAATCAAACATGCAGCCCTGACACAAATCTTACAGTTAAAGATGAGACTGAGCAGAAGGCCTGGTGGTCAGAATAAAGCTGTCAGCACCACGGACGGCTCTTCTCCACGGCTATCGAAACACAGGATAAATTAGGAGAAGTTAACTGTATTTATCCATCTGTTCAGCATGCACAACCGTATAGGTAAGATAAATCATAGAGCATTCACAGAATTTGTATTTACTTACCTAATCACTTTAAATGTGAGGTGCATGCAGCACATCCACATTATTCTACTCTATTGTACTATTATCTCAAGCACCGCAATTGAAGCGTAGTCGGGTGCCCGAACAATGGACAAAGTTAGGGCATTTGTGTTATCAGAAATCGAGGGTTTGTTTGAGTATGGGAGAGAAAGGCAGACCCAATTAGGGAATCAGAAACAGCTTTAAACGTGAAAAGAAAATTCCCTATAGGGTCCATTCCTTCAGGAAGTTCCCTTGCACCGTCCTGAATAAAATGAATGCAGCCTGCTTCAGAGCACTATAGCTTGATAGGTTGTCACAAGAGAACATCCTTGTGTCGTGGCCATACTCATTTGTAATTTTCAAGTAAAATAAATGAGAGTGACAAGGCAAATTAAATCAAAACCTTACCCTTTGAACATTTATTACAGCTCTAATGGAAAAGAATGTACAGTGTCATGGGAAGGCAGAGTGCATTTTGTGCATTTTATTTCTGATTCAAAGTGAAACCAAATGATGGTCCACTGGCATTTAAGTAGCTGAAACCTAAACTGCCTCAATTTAAATACATACGAGGAAACAGTTGCTTGTTTTGACTGTCGTCCACATTACTCAATTGCTCTCCAAAATTTACATAGAGAGTCTTAGCCCTAATTTAAACCATGTAAGCCATTCGTTTGCATTTATATGGATTGTTGTATGTGCTCTACATTAGGTAAAGGAGACATACATTATATATGAAGCAGGTGAGTTCAACCCTTTGATCGCAGCTTCATTAACTATGGCCATGGTCAAAATTAAGCTGTTTAAAAACTCATTGATGTCAATAAACAACATGCTTCAGTGCACCCCTGGAAATGTGGACTCTTTTGTGGAGGGGGAAATTTAAGGGATAAGAGAGTCAGTAGGTCTAGCGGTTAAGGCAGCAGGCTAGAAACCAGGAGACTGTGAATTCTAGTCCCACCTTAGGGATGAGTCACTTGGGCCACTCGTTCTCTCTCTCTCTCTCCTATTGCTTTTTTACAGAATTACTCATGGTCATTCGGTTTGTCTGTTTCTGTAAGGAAACATCTCTGAAAGGATGACCCAATGGGGCATGGGTTGTCTAGTCAAAGTTCTAAAGTTCAAATACAATAAGAAATATCGATATAATGCAAATCTCAAACAAAGCTCAGAAAATACCAGGTGGGAAAGAAAAGCAAGAGAGGAAGACATGAACACAAAATTTGCTTGGGTTTTATAAACCATGATTAGTAATATCAAAGAAATAAATCAAATTAGGCTTTTCTGTCCGTACACTCACGTAATGTAATGTACACTACATTAGAGTCTGGATTGAGGGGAGAAATGGCCCAAATCAATAGCCAAGTTTTGAATTGTTTTATTCAATTAAGATTCTGCAGCAACTCTACCCAGTGAGTTCTGCATCCTTTTTTGAGATACGAAAGCAAAACTTTCATTTGACTAGAGAAATAACTACTTAAAAAGTTTCTCCATAAGAACCTGTTTGGTGTAGTGGTGAAGGTGCCAGCCTAGAAACTAGCAGACTGTGAGTTCTAGTCCTGCTTTAGCCATGAAAGCCAGCTGGATGACCTCAGCCTCGCCCTCTCTATTAGTCTAATCCACTTAATAGAGTTGTTGTTGTGAGGAATATAGGATGAGGAAGGACTATTTGTTTGCTGCCTTGAGGTATTTATAAAAATAACGACATGAAAAAAATCTTTAAAAATGAAATGGGTCCTTAGATCCTTAAGGCAACATGTCACCCACTAAAACTCATGAAGCCCACTCCCAAAATGGGATGTAATCTTTGGAGTTTTGGAGTGCAATGCCCAAAGTTGCACACAAAGCAAGCTATGGTTCTTGTGCTGGTGGAAGCTGAACACCTCTTTCTTAGGAAAAATTTTTTGTTTGATTGATTTCTATAGTCACCCATTTCAGCAAACAACCCTAGGCAGCTATAGAAATCAAATCAATCAATCAATCAATCAATAAAGTTTTATAACTTTCCCAACCAGGTACTCTCTCGACATGATGCAATTATAATGCCTCAAATTCAGTTCTGCTTGGGAATTCTGGGTAATGTACTCCCAACCCAGCTGGAATCTATAAAACCAAAAATGACAGTCTCAGGAATTGTACCGTATAGAAGAATTTTCCAAGAGCTATGAAGTTTTTTATCCAAATAAAATACACGGCCAGGTATTTCCACAAATCACTTTCAAAGCCATCAATAAAGGAGTACGGATTGCTAAAACATCATACAGTAAAGCATTTAGTCACATTTAAATAATAGGCACAAGCACTGATTGTAAACTCAAGGGATCTTTAGAAATGTTTGTTTCTTTTATTCCTAGGCAGAGATACAGTCTCCAGTTAAATCAAAATCATGTCTAGATTGGACTAGCTTCACTTTTGGCCCTGCTTTGTCAAACTATTTTCAACCCAACATCACATATGTTTCTGATGGCATTCATCACAGTAACCTTGAAGGCTGTGCAGATTTCATTTTCAATTTTAGTCATCCTATAATCTCTTTCATAAACTTAAAATTTAATTAGAAATACGAATGGAAAGAAGGATGGGAATGGAAGAGGAAATAAGCAAATTTAATATACTAATTTTGACATTAAGAATTATGACCTTTCAGGTGTTCCTTGAAATCAAATTTTGCATCCCTTACAACCATCCCAATATGACATTAAATTAGGGACAAGCAACATTTATGCAGTGACATGGATTTTTAAAATCTTTTGGGGGGGGCTAAAAACACATTGGATTTGTGGTAGTGACACGGTATGGTTTTCACCAGATGGGCAAGATCAAAATGATTAAGTCCCACTTTTCATTTTGCTACTCACATTTCAGAGTTTTAATAAGAATATCTATTTTATTTGTTTAAAGAATTCTTTAAAAATACATTTTATTTTTTTTCTTTAAAGATAGTTTTGGCAATGCAGTCTTGAGAATCTTCCAGGAATTGAAGAACAGGAATGTAGGTCTACACATGGACCACTCTCCCTCATTACCACTGCTACAATAAACACTGCCATTTGCAGTTACCATTTCTGAAATTCAAAAAGAGGTTCTGTTCTTTGTAAAATACACATTACTCATTCATATTGGAGTGAGCTTTCAACTTTCATGAGCCTTCAAAACTGTTCTCCAAATTGCAGAGTGTAATGCCAGTACGGTTGTCAAAATGGCAATCTTCTATTAACATTTTCCCTATTATCAGCTATGGCCATCCCACAAAGGTTGAATCAGCAGATGCCACATTTACTACACAGTTGCTACTCTTATTACTCTGAGAGGGATCCCAGCTCAATTTATTTTGTTTTCATCCCTGTTATTTTTCTATCAAAATTCTGTAATGTACAGAAATCTGGGAATAAAGATCCTCGCTCCTTAAAAATGCCTAGCATTCCTCTAACATAACAATCAGATATTCCAATATAATTTGTGCACAGAAAACAAAAATCATATACATGCAATCCTAACTTTGAAGAATACATTAAAAAACTTTGCCATGTTCCATCTTTTTTTTTTCTTCGCACCATCCTAGGTTGTTGGAAGTTCTACAGAATGCTCTACTGTGCATTAGACCAGATCCTAACTCTTAAATTTTATTCCTGAGCTGATCCACAAGCAAATGCATGCATGAATGGTCCCTTCAGTTCAGGGGTCTTCAGACTTGGCCCTTTTCTGACTTGTGGACTTCAACTCCCAGAATTCCTTGGCCAGGCATGCTGGCTAAGGAATTCTGGGAGTTGAAGTCCACAAGTTTATTTATTTATTTATTTATTTATGAGACTTATATACCGCTTTAAGTGCAAGCACTCTCTAAGCGGTGTACACCAGTAAGCAATGTATATATATATTTACATTGCCCCCAACAATCTGGGTCCTTATTTTACCTACCCCGGAAGGATGGAAGGCTGAGTCAACCTTGAGCCGGTGAGATTTGAACCGCTGACCTGCTGAACACAGTCAGCTAAAGTGGCCTGCAGTACTGCACTCTAACTGCTGCACCACCTCGGCTCTTACAAGTCAGAAAAGGGCCAAGTTTGAAGACCCCTGCTTTAGTTAAACTGGATGGTAAATTGGCCCAT